AAAATCGGGGGGGGTCCCCAAAATCGGGGGGGGTCCCACCTTGGCCGAGGAGGACTCTTCGGACGCCTCTTCCCCTTCGCTGTCCAACCGGAACAGTTTCCGGCGCTTTCCGGGGCCCTCCGCGGCGCGCGGCGGCTCCTTCTCTGCTTTGGGGCAAATTCGGGGAAATTTGGGGTTTTTGGGGTTTTTTCGGGTTTTTTTAGGGGGAGTTTTGGGGATTTTTTGCGGTTTTTTTGGGGATTTTTTGTGGGTTTTTTGGGGTTTTTTGCGGATTTTTTGCGGGTTTCTTCGGGGGGTTTTTGCGGTTTTTTGGAGGATTTTTTGGGGTGTTTTAAGGAGGATTTTTTGGGGTTTCTTGGAGGATTTTTAGGGGTTTTTTTGGGGTTTTTTAGGGGGATTTTTTTCTTGGTTTTTTAGAGGATTTTTAGGGGTTTCTTTGAAGGATTTTTAGGGGTTTTTTAGGGATTTTTTTTCTTGGTTTTTTAGGGGATTTTTAGGGGTTTCTTTGAAGGATTTTTAGGGTTTTTTTGGAGTTTTTTAGGGATTTTTTTCCTTCGTTTTTTAGGGTATTTTTTTGGGTACTTTTTGGGTATTTAGGGGTTTTTTTTTGGGGGGGTTTTCTGGGGGGTTTCTTGGGGGTTTTCTGGGGGTTATTAGTGGGTTTTGGGGTGTTTTTTGGGGTGTTTTTTGGGGGGGGTTGGGGTTTTTCGGGTTTTTAGGGGGTATCTAAAGGGGTTTTTGGGGTTTTTTAGCGGTTTTTTGGGGATTTTGGGGTATTTTTGGAGCTTTTTTAGGGATTTTTTTGGGTGGTTTTTAGGAGGATTTTTCGGGGTTTCTTGGAGGATTTTTAGGGTTTTTTTGGGGGATTTTTTTCTTGTTTTTTTAGGGGATTTTTTGGAGTACTTTTTGGCTATTTAGGGTTTTTTTGGGGTTTTTTTTTGGTGTAGTTTCTTGGGGGTTTTCTGGGGTTTATTAGAGGGTTTTGGGGTGTTTTTTGGGGTGTTTTTGGGGGGGATTGGGGTTTTTGGGATTTTTAGGGGGTATCTATAGGGGTTTTTGGGGTTTTTAGGGTGTTTTTTGGAGGGGGTTGGGGTTTTTAGGGGGTATCTAAAGGGGTTTTGGGGTTTTTTAGGGGTTTTTGGGGTTTTTGGGGCGTATCTAAAGTGTTTTTGGGGTTTTTTAGCAGTTTTTTGGGGGGTTTGGGGTGTTTTTTTGGGGTTTTTTTGGGTTTTTAGGGCATATCTAAAGGGGGTTTTGGGGGGTTTGGGGTGTTTTTTGGAGTGTTTTTGAGGGGGGTTGGGGTTTTGGGGTTTTTAGGGGGTATCTAAAGGGGGTTTTGGGGTGTTTTTGGGGGGGTTGGGGTTTTTGGGGTTTTTAGGGGGTATCTAAAGGGGTTTTTGGGGTTTTTTGGGGTGTTTTTTGGGTTTTTGGGGTTTTTAGGGGGTATCTAAAGGGGTTTTTGGGGTTTTTTAGAGTGTTTTTTGGGGTGTTTTTTGGGTTTTTGGGGGGTATCTAAAGGGGTTTTTGGGGTTTTTTAGCGGTTTTTTGGGGGTTTTGGGGAGGGGTCTCACCATCCTCATCCTCCTCGGGGGGGGTGGGGGGTCGGGGGCGCTTCTCCTCCCCCCCCTCGTTCAGCTCCGACGGCTCTTTCCGCTTCACCTGCGGGAAACGGGGAAAAATGGGGAAAAACGGGAAAAAAATGAAAAAAGGGAGAAAAAAGAACCCCGAAACCCCCCAGACCCTCCCCAAAAAGGGACACCCAGCACCCCAAATCCCCCCCAGGACCCCCAAATCCCCCCCCAAGACCGCCAAATCCCCTCCAGAACCCCCCCAAACCCGCCCAGGACCCCCCAAAATCCCCTCCAAGACCCCCAAAATCCCCCCCAGGACCCCCCAATTCTCCCCAGATCTCCCCCAGGGCCACCCAAAATCCCCTCCAAGACCCCCAAATCCCCTCCAGACTCCCCCTAAAGCCCCCCAGGACCCCCCAAAATCCCCTCCAAGACCCCCCAAACCCGCCCAGGACCCCCTAAAATCCCCTCCAAGACCCCCAAATTCCCCCCCAGGACCCCCAAAATCCCCTCCAGGACCCCCAAAATCCCCCCCAGGACCCCCAAATCCCCTCCAGGACCCCCAGATCCCCCCCAAACCCCCCCAAATCCCCTCCAAGACCCCCAAATCCCCTCCAAGACCCCCAGATCCCCCCCAAACCCCCCCAGGACCCCCTGAATCCCCCCCAAATCCCCTCCAAGACCCCCAAATCCCCCCCAAAGCCCCCCAGGACCCCCCAAAATCCCCTCCAAGACCCATAAATCCCCCCCAAACCCACCCAGGACCCGCCAAAATCCCCTCCAAGACCCCCAAATCCCCCCCAAATCCCCTCCAAGACCCCCAAATCCCCCCCAAAGCCCCCCAGGACCCCCCAAAATCCCCTCCAAGACCCCCAAATCCCCCCCAAGACCCCCAAATCCCCCCCAGGACCCCCAAAATCCCCTCCAAGACCCCCAGATCTGCCCCAAATCCCCTCCAAGACCCCCAAATCCCCCCCAAACCCCCTCAAACCCCCCCAGAGCCCCCCAGGACCCCCCAAACGGGCACCTTGAAGGAGGGCAGCCGGAGGGCGCCCCGCAGCCCCGCGCCCCCTCCCCGGGCCCAGTCCACGAGGGAGAGGGAGAGGAGGGCGGGGGGCGGCTCCTTCGGCCTCGGGGCCTCCTCACGGCCCCGGCCCGACTGGAAGGGCTGGGGGAGAAAATTGGGGGGTCAGGGGGGTAAAATTGGGGTCAGGGGGGTAAAATTGGGGTCAGGGGGGGTAAAATTTGGGTCAGGGGGGCAAAAATTGGGGGGTCAGGGGGGCAAAATCGGGGGGAAAATGGGGGGTTTGGGGGAAAAACGGGGGGTTTGGGTCAGATTTTGGGTCAGGTTCAGGGGCTGGTTGTAAAGCAGATTTTGGGCTGGTTTTGGTCAGATTTTGGGTCAGATTTGGGTCAGGTTCCACAGGAGATTTTAGGGCAGCTCTGGTCAGATTTTGGGCTGGTTTTGGTCAGATTTTAAAGCAGATTTTGGGCTGATTTTGCCCAGATTCGGGTCAGATTTTGGGCTGGTTTTGCCCAGATTTTGGGTCAGATTTGGGTCAGATTTGGGTCAGATTTGGGTCAGACTTTGGGCTGATTTTGCTCAGATTTTGGGCTGATTTGGGGCTGGTTTTGCCCAGATTTTGGGCTGATTTTGGGTCATATTTGCCCAGATTTGGCTCAGATTTTGTGCCCACCTTGAGCTGCTCCTCCTTGCGCTCCCACCACGTGTCGAAGATTTGGGTCAGATTTGGGTCAGATTTTGGTCAGACTTTGGGCTGATTTTGCTCAGATTTGGGTCAGATTTTGGGCTGATTTTGCTCAGATTTTGGGCTGATTTTGGGTCATATTTGCCCAGATTTGGGTCAGATTTTTGCCCACCTTGAGCTGCTCCTCCTTGCGCTCCCACCACGCGTCGAAGATTTGGGTCAGATTTGGGTCAGATTTTGGTCAGACTTTGGGCTGATTTTGCTCAGATTTTGGGCTGATTTGGGGCTGGTTTTGCTCAGATTTTAAAGCAGATTTTGGGCTGATTTTGCCCCGATTTGGGTGAGATTTTTGCCCACCTTGAGCTGCTCCTCCTTGCGCTCCCACCACGCGTCGAAGGCGCGGAAGGCCACGTTCTCCACCATTTTCCGGTTGAGGTCGCGCTGCATCGTGGCCTTCATCTCCTGCACCAGCGCCGCCAGGACCCCCTCCACGGGCCCGGGGGGCTCGGGGGGCGCGGGGGGCGCCGGGGGGTCGGTCCCCGGGGGTCTCTCCTCGGCCGTGGGGGGCTCGAAGGGCGGGGGAGGGGGCGGGAAGCGGGGGGGCGGGGGAGGGGCGAAGTGGGGCGGTGGGGGAGGGGCGAAAGGGGCGCCCCCCCCGCCCCCTCCCCCCCCCCCAAAGGCGGATTTGGGGGCGCGGAGGCGGCTCAGCAGCGGGAGGGGGGTGGGGACCCCCCCCCAGCGCCCCCCCGGACGCCCCAAAAGCTCCAACAGCGCCGGGGGGGACCCCCCGAAATCGGGGAGGGGGCGCGGGGGGGGAGGGGGGAGGGGCACGGCCATCAGGGGCTGGGGGGGGGGAGGGGGCGGGAAGGACGGGGGAGGGGGAGGGGGCTCCGGGAAGGGGGAGGGCGGCAGTGGGGGAGGGGCGTGGGGGGCGTCGCTGTTGTCGTCGGAGGAGATTTCCATGTCCTCCCCCGAGGAGGTCTGAAAATGGGGGAAAAATGGGGTGAAATGGGGCTGGGGGCACCCCCAGATGGGAGGTTACCCCAAAACAGACCGAATTACCCCAAAAAACCCCAAAAAACAGCCCAAATAACCCCAAAAAACAGCCCAAATCACCCCAAAAAACTGCAAAAAACCACACAAATCAACCCAAAAACGGCCCGAATGACCCCAAAATGGGAAAAATCACCCCAAAAATGGCCCAAATCACCCCAAACCAGCCCGAATCACCCCAAAAAACTGCAAAAAACGGCCCAAATCAACCCCAAAATGGCCCAAATCACCCCGAAAACAGCCCGAATAACCCCAAAAACCCACAAAAAACAGCAAAAAACCACACAAACCACCCTGAAAATAACCCGAATCACCCCAAAATGGGCCAAATCACACCAAAATGGGCCAAATTCACCTGAAAGTGGCCCGAATCACCCCGAAAACCCGCAAAAAACCACCCAAATCACACCAAAAAGGGCCAAATCACCCCAAAATGGGCTACATTGACCTGAAAATGGCCCGAATGACCCCAAAAACCCCCAAAACCCCCCGAATCCTCCCCACAAGTCTCCCCAAAGCCCCCCAAATCCTTCCAAACCCCCCCAAGCCTTCCCAAAGCCTCCCCAAATCCCCCCAAATTCCCCCAAAACCCCCTCAAATCCCCCCAAAATTTCCCCAAACCCCCTCAAATCCTTCCGAACCCCCCCAAAACCGTCCCAAACCCTCCCCAAAATCCCCCCAAATTGTCCCAAGTCCCCCCAAAGTCCCCCAAAATTTCCCTCAACCCCCTCAAATCCCCCCGAAACCCCCCAAATCCTCCACCAAGCCTCCCCAAATCCCCCCAAGTCCCCCTCAAATCCCCCCAAAATTTCCCCAAACCCCCTCAAATCCTTCCAAACCCCCCCAAACCCCCCAAACCCCCTCAAGCCTCCCCAAATCCCCCCCAAAATCCCCCCAAATTTCCCCAAAACCCCCCAAAACCCCCCGAATCCTCCCCCAAGCCTCCCCCAAGCCTCTCCAAGCCCCCTCAAATCCTTCAGAACCCCCCAAATCACCCCCAAATCCCCCCAAAACCTCCCCAAACCCCCTCAAATACCCCCGAAATTTCCCCAATCCCCCCAAACCCCCCCAAAACCCACCAAAAATCCCCCCCAAGCCTCCCCAAACCCCCCTCAAATCCCCCCAAAATTTCCCCAAACCCCCCGAATCCTCCCCAAAGCCCCCCAATCCCCCCCAAATTGCCCCAAATCCCCCCCAAAAGCCCCCCAAGCCTCCCAAAAACCCCCCCAAATTTCCCTCAACCCCCCCAAACCTCCCCCAATCCCCCCCCAAACCCCCCCCGAGACCCCTCCCCCACTCACCCTCTCCTGCCCGTTGGGTCGGGGGCTCGGGGGGGCTCCTCCCTCCCCTCCCCCACCCCGGGGGGGCTCCGGGGGCTCTTCGGGGACCCCCCCGGGCCCCTCCTGGGGGGGCTCCCCGGGCCCCTCCCCCTCCCCCCCGGCGAGGGGGGGGGGCTGGGCGGGGTGCGGTGGTGTTTGGGGGTGTGTGGGGGTGGTGCGGCCTTCCTCCCCCTCCCCCGCCCCTCCCCCACCCTCCTCCTCCTCCTCGTGGGGGGCGGGGGCGGGGAAGAAGTGGGAGCGCTGCTCCTTCAGCAGCGCCTCGATGCGCGAGTCCAGGCTGGGGTGGGGGGCGAAGGGGACACTCTCGGGGGTCCCCTCGGGGGCCGGGGACCCCCCCCGGGCGGGGGCGGGGCAGGGGGAGCCCCCCGGGGGGAGGGGGAGGAGGGGGGGGGGGGGGGGAGGGGAGGAAGGGGGAGGCGGGGAGGGGGGGGGGGGAGGGGGGGGGAAGGGCAGGAAGGAGCCCCCCGAGGGGGGAGGGGGTGGGGGAGGGGGTGGGGGTGGGGGAGGGGCGCGGCGGGAGGGGAAGGAGCCCCCCGGGACTCCCCCACCCCCCTCCGGGGGGCGGCGGGGGGAGGGGAAGGGGTCCGGGGGGAAGGGGAGCCTGGAAGGGGAGAGGGGGAGGGGCGTCAGTGAGACCCCAAAAATTGGGGAAATCGACCCCAAAAATTGGGGAAATCAACCCCAGAAATTGGGAAAATTCCACCCCAAAAATTGGGGAACCCCACCCCAGAAATTGGGGAAATCCACCCCAAAAAACTGGGAAAATCAAACCCCAAAATTGGGGAACCCCCGTCCCAAAAATTGGGGAAATCCACACCAAAAAATTGGGGAAATCCACACCCAAAAATTGGGGAAATTCCCCTCAAAAATTGGGGAAATCCACACCCAAAAATTGGGGAAATCCATCCCCAAAAATTGGGGAAATTCCCCCACAAAATTGGGGAAATCCACCCCAGAAATTGGGGAAATCCACCCCAAAAAAACTGGGGAAATCCACCCCAAAAAAACTGGGGAAATCCATCCCCAAAAATTCGGGGAAATCCACCCCAAAAAATAAGGGAAATTTCAAAAAAAAAAAAAAAATTGGGCAAATCCCATAAAAAATTGAGAAAGTTCTCAAAAAATGGGGGAAATCCCTCCAAAAATCGGGAAAATCCCACGCAAAAAAATCAGGGAAATCCCCCTAATAAATGAGGGAAATCCCCCTAAAAATCGAGAAAAAAGCCCCACAAAAAATTGGGAAAATCCCCCCCAAAAAATCTGGGAAACCCCACAAGAAACAGGGGAAATCCCACCAGAAAAAATTGGAAAAAAACCCCAAAAAATCTGGTGAATCCCCCCGAAAATCAGAGAAATTCAAAAAAATATCTGGGAAATTCCCCAAAAAATCCCAAATCCCCCCCAAAATCCCAAATCCCCCCAAACCCCAAACCCCCCAAATTCCCCCCAATTCCCCCCCAACTCTCCCCCAATTCCCCCAAAATCCCCCCAAATCCCCCCAAAATCCCCCAAATCCCCCCAAAATCCCCCAAATCCCCCCAAAATCCCCCCAACCCCCCCAAAATAGCCCCAATTCCCCCCCAAAATCCCCCAAATCTCCCCAATAATCCCCAAAATCCCCCAAACCCCCCCCAAAGTAGCCCCAATTCCCCCCAAAAATCCCCCAAATCCCCCCAATAATCCCCCAAACCCCCCCAAAATCCCAAAAATCCCCAAAATCCCCCAAAAGACCCCAAAATCCGCCTCACCTGCTGCCGTAGGGGGAGGGGCTCCCGTCGGCGAAGGCCCCGAAGGGGGGCGGCGGTGGGGGAGGGGCGAAGGGCCCGAAGCCCCCCCCGGCCCCTCCCCCACCCCCGTCCTGGGGGGTCGCGCTGCCCCCCGGGGGTGGGGGAGGGGCGAAGGGGCCCTCGGCCGAGGGGCGGCGCCGGGGGGGGTCGGCCGGGGGGGGCGGCTGGGGGAGGGGGCACCCCGAAATTAATTACCAAAATTAACCAAAATTAACCAAAATTACCCCAAAATCGCATCAGGCACCCCAAAATTAACCAAAATCACCCCAAAATTAACCAAAATCACCCCAAAATTACCCCAAATCACCCCAAAATCACATCCAGGAACCCAAAATCAACCAAAATCACCCCAAAAATCGCATCAGGCACCCCAAAATTACCCAAAAGTCACATCAGGTGCCCCAAAATTACCCAAAATCACCCCAAAATTAACCAAAATCACCCCAAAATTACCCCAAATCACCCCAAAATTACCCCAAATCACCCCAAAATTACCCAAAATCACCCCAAAATCACATCCAGGAACCCAAAATCAACCAAAATCACCCCAAAAATCGCATCAGGCACCCCAAAATTACCCAAAAGTCACATCAGGTGCCCCAAAATTACCCAAAATCACCCCGAAATCCCCCCCCAGGAACCCTGAAACACCCCAGGCATCCCAAAATTTCCTCAAATTCCCCCCCAGGAACCCCAAAAACAACAAAATCCTCCCCAAACCCCCCCAAATCCCCTCAATTTCCCCCTAAACCTCCCCAAACCGCCCCCAGACCCCTCAAACCCCCCCCAGCCCCCCAAATCCCCCCAAACCCCCGAAATTCCCCCTAAATCCCCCCCAGACTGCCCCAAACCCCTCCTGACCCCCCAAAATTCCCCCTTAATTTACCCCAAATCCCCTCTATATCCCCCCCAGAACCCCCCAATTCTCCCCCAATTCCCCCCAGACCCCCCCAAACAACCCCCAGACCCCCAAAATCCCCCCAAATTCCCCTAAATCCTCCCCAATTCCCCCCAAATCCCCCCCAGTCCCCCCCAAATCCTCCCCAATTCTCCCCTGAAATCCCCCCAAATTCCCCCCAAATCCCCCCAATTCTCCCCAAACCCCCCCAAATCCCCCCCAATTTCCCACTAAATCCGAAATCCCGCCCCAAATCCCCCAAAATCCTCCCCAATTCTCCCCAAACCCCCCCCAATTCCCCCTAAATCCCCCCAAATCCCCCAAATTCTCCCCCAATTCCCCCCAGACCCCCCGAAATCGCCCCCGCGCCCCCTGAAATTCCCCCCAGACGCCCCAAACTCCCCCCAGACCCCCCTCAGACCCCCTAAATCCCCCCAAATCCTCCCCAATTCTCCCCTGAAATCCCCCCAAGCCTCCCCCAGACCCCCCGAAATCCCCCCAGACCCCCCAAATTTCCCCCCAGCCCCCCCGAAATCGCCCCCAGACCCCCCCAAATTGCCCCCAAACCCCCCAATGTTCCCCCCAATTCCCCCCAAACCCCCTCCCAGCCCCCCAAAATCTCTCCCCCCCCTTTCTCACCGTGTCCCCCCAGCCCCCCAGCCCCCTGAAACTCCCCAAAATCGCCCCAAACCCCCCGAATTTCCCCCAAAATCTCACCGTGTCGGGGCTCTCTGCGCTGTTTTTGCCGCTGCCCGTGGGGACGGTCTGGGGGGTGTAGGAGCCGCTGACGATCAGTTCATAGAGTTTCATCCTCTGCTGCCCTGCGACACCCCAAAACCCAAATCAGACCCAAAATATCCCAAATCAGAGCCCAAAATATCACAAAATATCCGAGTTTGGGCCCAAAAATATCCCAAAAACCCAAATCAGAGCCCAAAATATCACAAAATATCCGAGTTTGGGCCCAAAAATATCCCAAAAACCCAAATCAGACCCCAAAATATCCGAAAAACCCAAATCAGAGCCCAAAATATCCCAAAAACCCAAATCAGAGCCCAAAATATCCCAAATCAGACCCCAAAACCCCAAATCAGACCCCAAAATATCCCCAAAACCCAAATCAGAGCCCAAAATATCCCAAATCAGAGCCCAAAACCCAAATCAGAGCCCAAAATATCCCAAATCAGAGCCAAAATATCACAAATACCCAAATCAGAGCCAAAATATCCCAAATCAGACCCCAAAATATCACAAAACCCAAATCAGAGCCCAAAATATCCCAAAAACCCAAATCAGAGCCCAAAATATCCCAAAAACCCAAATCAGAGCCCAAAACCAGCACGTGGGACCCCAAAAACAGCACGTGGGACCCCAAAATATCCCAAAACAGCACGTGGGACCCCAAAAACAGCATGTGGGACCCCAAAAAACACCACATTGCACCCAAAAATATCCCAGAACCCCACATCAGACCCCAAAAACACCAGATCGGACCCCAGAATATCCCAAAATATCACATCGGACCCCAAAATATCCCAAAACAGCACATGGGACCCCCAAAATATCCCAAAATACCCATGTCGGACCCAAAAATATCTCAAAATACCAGGTTTGGACCCAAAACCACCCCAAAACAGCACGTCGGACCCCAAAAACACCCCAAGAAAACCCCAAATCCCCCATAAACCCCCCATAAATCCCCCATAAAACCCCCCAAAACCCCAATAAATCCCCTATAAACACCCACCCCTGACGTCGAGCTGAGCGTGGATGGTGGTGCCCATTCCCCAGACACCCCATAAATCCCTTTTAAACCCCTATAAATGCCCCATAAATCCCCTATAAACCCCAATAAATCCCCCATAAATCCCCTATAAACCCCATAAATCCCCTATAAACCCCATAAATCCCCCATAAATCCCCTGTAAACCCCATAAATCCCCCATAAACCCCAATAAAAACCCACCCCTGACGTCGAGCTGAGCGTGGATGGTGGTGCCCATTCCCCAGACACCCCATAAATCCCTTTTAAACCCCTATAAATGCCCCATATATCCCCTATAAACCCCATAAATCCCCTATAAACCCCATAAATCCCCCCAAAACCCCCATAACTCTCCCCAAAACCCACCCCTGACGTCGAGCTGGGCGTGGATGGCGGTGCCCATGGCACAGACACCCCATAAACCCCCTATAAACCCCCATAAATCCCCTATAAATCCCTTTTAAACCCCCATAAACCCCCATAAATCCCCTATAAACCCCCATAAATCCCTTATAAACCCCATATAAACCCCATAAATCCCCTATAAACCCCATAAATCCCCCATAAATCCCCTATAAAACCCCCTAAATCCCCTAAAAACCCCCATAAATCCCCTTTTAACCCCATAAATCCCCCCAAAACCCCCATAAACACGCACCCCTGATATCGAGCTGTGCGTGGATGGCCGTGCCCATGGCACAGACACCCCATAAATCCCCCATAAACCCCCTGTAAACCCCTATAATTCCCCTTTAAACCCCCATAAATCCCCCATAAATCCCCTATAAACCCCCATAAATCCCCTATAAACCCCCATAAATCCCACATAAACCCCATAAATCCCCTATAAACCCCCATAAATCCCCTATAAACCCCCATAAATCCCCTATAAACCCCCCAAAACCCACCCCTGACATCGAGCTGTGCGTGGATAGCAGTGCCCATGACACAGACTCCCCATAAACCCCCATAAATCCCCATAAATCCCCATAAATACCCTATAAACCCCCATAAATCCCCTTTTAACCCCATAAATGCCCCATAAATCCCATTTAAATCCCCTTTTAACCCCATAAATCCCCCTAAATCCCCCCAAAAACGCACCCCTGACGTCGAGCTGTGCGTGGATGGCCGTGCCCATGACGGTGGCGTTGTGCAGGTGCCGGACGGTGTCGCGGGCGCCGCGGGAGGAGCCGAAGGTGACCCGGGCCAGCCCGAGGTGCTTTCGGGTTTTGGGGTGCAGCAGCACCTCCACCTCCTCCACCTCCCCGAACTTGCGGCACATCTCCCGCAGGAACCCCTCGCGGATGTTGTCGTTGAGCCGCGCGAAGGTCACCTCCTTCAGGGGCACCTGCCCCACGTAGAACTCGTCCAGCTGTGACCCAAAAACCCCGAAAAATACCCCAAAAAATACCCCAAATCAATCCGAAATTCGGTTAGAAAAACGCGGCCAAAATCCCAAATCCTATTCCTGAAATACACCCAAAATCCCAAATTCTGTCACTGAAACCCCAAACCCATCCCCTCCTTCAGGGGCACCTGCCCCACGTAGAACTCGTCCAGCTGCGCCAAAAACCCCGAAAAACACCCCAAAAAACACCCCAAATGAATCCAAAATATGGTTAGAGAAATACACCCAAAATCCCAAATCCATCCCCAAATCCATCCCCAAATCCATCCCTGAACCCCAAACCCATCCCATCCCCTCCTTCAGGGGCACCTGCCCCACGTAGAACTCGTCCAGCTGTGCCAAAAACCCCAAAAAATACCCCAAAAAATACCCCAAATCAATCCGAAATTCGGTTAGAGAAATACACCCAAAATCCCAAATGCTATTCCTGAAATACACCCAAAATCCCAAACCCAACTCCTCCTTCAGGGGCACCTGCCCCACGTAGAACTCGTCCAGCTGTGACCCCAAAAACCCCAAAAAACACCCCAAAAAATACCCCAAATCAATCCGAAATTCGGTTAGAAAAACATGGCAAAAATCCCAAATTCTGTCACTGAAACCCCAAATCCATCCCCAAATCCATCCCCAAATCCAACCCTGAACCCCAAACCAGCCCCTCCTTCAGGGGCACCTGCCCCACGTAGAACTCGTCCAGCTGTGACCCAAAAACCCCGAAAAACAACCCAAAAAACACCCCAGAGAAACCCAAAATCTGGTTAGAAAAACATAACAAAAATCCCAAATTCTGTCACTGAAATACACCCAAAATCCCAAACCCAACTCCTCCTTCAGGGGCACCTGCCCCACGTAGAACTCGTCCAGCTGTGACCCAAAAACCCCAAAAAACACCCCAAAAAACAGCCCAGAGAAACCCAAAATCTGGTTAGAGAAACGGGGCCGAAATCCCAAATTCTGTCACTGAAAGCCCAAATCCATCCCCAAATCCATCCCCAAACACCCAAATTCAGCCCCAATTCCCCAAACCCCCCAAATTCAGCCCCAAACCCCCCAAATCCACCCCCAAACTCCCCAAACTCATCCCCAATCCCCCCAAATCCACCCCAAACCCCCAAGTCCACCCCAAATCCCTCAAATTCAGCCCCAAACCCCCCAAATTCAGCTCCAAATCCCCAAAGCCCCCCCAAATTCAGCCCCAAACCCACCAAATTCCACCCCAAACCCAGCCCCAAATCCACCCCCAAACCCCCCAAACCCCCAAATCCCACCCCCAAACCCCCCAAATTCAGCCCCAAATCTCCCAAACCCCCCAAATTCAGCCCCAAACCCCCAAATTCCACCCTAAACCCTCCAAAATTTAGCCCAAATCTCCCCAAATCCACCCCAAACCCCCCAAATTCAGCCCCAAACCCCCCAAATTCAACCCCAAACCCCCCAAATTCAGCCCCAAACCCCCCAAATTCAGCCCCAAATCCCCCAAATTCAGCCCAAACCCCAATAATTCAGCCCCAATTCCACCCCCAAATCCCCCAAATCCCACCCCAAACCCCCAAATTCTGCCCCAAACCCCAAAATTCAGCCCCAAACCCCCAATCCCCCCAAATTCAGCCCAAATCCCCCCAAATCCACCCCCAAACACCCCAAATTGCACCCCAAACCCCCAAATTCTGCCCCAAACCCCAAAATTCAGCCCCAAATCCCCCAAATTCAGCCCCAAACCCCCAAACCTCCCAAAATTCAGCCCAAATCCCCCCAAATTCAGCCCCAAATCCCCCCAAATCCATCCCCAAACCCCAAACCCCCCAAATCCCAAACCCCCCAAATCCACCCCCAAACCCCCCAAAATTCAGCCCCAAACCCCCCAAATTCAGCCCCAAATTCAGCCCCAAACCCCCCCAAATCCACCCCCAAACCCCCAAAATCCACCCCCAAACCCCCCAAATTCCACCCCAAAACCCCCAAATTCACCCCCAAACCCCCCGAATTCAGCCCCAAAACCCCCAAATTCACCCCCAAACCCCCCAAATCCACCCCCAAACCCCCCCAAATCCATCCCCAAACCCCCAAACCCCCAAAATTCACCCCCAAAACCCCCAAAATCCACCCCCAAAACCCCCAAATTCAGCCCCAAACCCCCAAAATCAGCCCCAAAACCCCAAAATCCACCCCCAAACCCCCCAAATCCACCCCCAAACCCCCCAAATTCAGCCCCAAGCCCCCCAAATTCAGCCCAAATCCCCCCAAATCCATCCCCAAACCCCAAATTCAGCCCCAAACCCCCCAAGTCCACCCCCAAACCCCCCAAATTCAGCCCAAACCCCCAAATTCAGCCCCAAACCCCCCAAATTCAGCCCCAAACCCCCCAAATCCATCCCCAAACCCCAAATTTCCCCAAATTCAGCCCAAATCCCCCCAAACCCCGCAGTCTCACCTTGAACTTGGGCACGGGCAGGGACAGGTCCCGGTGCTTCGCCCAAATCCGGCGCGGCCGCGGGTCCTGCACGGGTCCGGCGGGGGGGAACCCCGAATCCTGCACCCCAAAAACCCCAAAAACCATCAAAAACAGTCAAAAACCCCAAAAACACCGAGTCCTGCACCCCAAAAACCCCAAAAACCATCAAAAACCCCAAAAACACCGAGTCCTGGACGGGTCCGGCGGGGGGGAACCCCGAATCCTGCCCCAAAAACCCCAAAAATCAGTAAAAACCATCAAAAACCCCAAAAACACCGAGTCCTGCACCCCAAAAACCATCAAAAACCCCAAAAACACCGAGTCCTGCACCCCAAAAACCATCAAAAACCCCAAAAACACCGAGTCCTGCACCCCAAAAACCCCAAAAATCAGTAAAAAACCCCAAAAACACCGAGTCCTGCACCCCAAAAACCCCAAAAATAACTTAAAAACACCAAAAACCCCGAGTCCTGCACCCCAAAAACCCCAAAAATCAGTAAAAAAACCCAAAAACCCCGAGTCCTGCACCCCAAAAACCCCAAAAACCATCAAAAACCCCAAAAACACCGAGTCCTGCACCCCAAAAACCCCAAAAATAACTTAAAAACCCCAAAAACACCGAGTCCTGCACCCCAAAAACCCCAAAAATCACTAAAAAACCCCAAAAACACCGAGTCCTGCACCCCAAAAACCCCCAAAACCATCAAAAACCATCAAAACCCCAAAAACACCGAGTCCTGCACCCCAAAAACCCCAAAAATCAGTAAAAAAACCCAAAAACCCCGAGTCCTGCACCCCAAAAACCCCAAAAATCAGTAAAAAACCCCCAAAACACCGAGTCCTGCACCCCAAAAACCCCAAAAATAACTTAAAAACACCAAAAACCCCAAGTCCTGCACCCCAAAAAACCCAAAAATCAGTAAAAAAACCCCAAAACACCGAGTCCTGCACCCCAAAAACCCCAAAAACAGTAAAAAACCATCAAAAACCCCAAAAACACCGAGTCCTGCACCCCAAAAACCCCAAAAATCACTTAAAAACCCCAAAAACACCGAGTCCTGTGCCCCAAAAACCCCAAAAACCATCAAAAACCCCAAAAACACCAAAAACACCGAGTCCTGCACCCCAAAACCCCCCAAAATCAGTAAAAAAACCCAAAAACACCGAGTCCTGCACTCCAAAACCCCCAAAAATCAGTAAAAAATCCCAAAAACACCGAGTCCTGCACCCCAAAAACCCCAAAAAACCCCAAAAACCCCAAAAACCATCAAAAACCCCAAAAACACCGAGTCCTGCACCTCAAAAACCCCAAAAACCATCAAAAACCCCAAAAACACCGAGTCCTGCACCCCAAAAACCCCAAAAATCAGTAAAAAACCCCAAAAGCCCCAAAAACACCGAGTCCTGCACCCCAAAAACCCCAAAAACAGTGAAAAACCCCAAAACCACCGAGTCCTGCACCCCAAAAACCATCAAAAAACCCAAAAACCCCAAAACCACAGTCCTGCACCCCAAAAACCCCAAAAACCATCAAAAACCCCAAAAACACCGAGTCCTGCACCCCAAAAACCCCAAAAACAGTCAAAAACCCCAAAAACACCGAGTCCTGCACCCCAAAAACCCCAAAAATCAGTAAAAAAACCCCAAAACACCGAGTCCTGCACCCCAAAAACCCCCAAAACCATCAAAAACCATCAAAACCCCAAAAACACCGAGTCCTGCACCCCAAAAACCCCAAAAACCATCAAAAACCATCAAAAACACCGAGTCCTGCACCCCAAAAACCCCAAAAATCAGTAAAAAAACCCCAAAACACCGAGTCCTGCACCCCAAAAACCCCAAAAACCATCAAAAACCCCAAAAACACCGAGTCCTGCACCCCAAAAACCCCAAAAACCATCAAAAACCATCAAAACCCCAAAAACACCGAGTCCTGCACCCCAAAAACCCCCAGAAATCCCCAAAAATACCCAAAAACTCCAAGTCCTGAACCCCAAAAAATACTCAAACCCACCCAAAACCACAAACCCCCACTCAGACACCCCAAAAACTCCTTTTTTGGGGCAGTTTTGGGGTTTTAAGGCGGTTTCTGACTGAGATTTTGGGGTGAGATTTGGGTCAGTTTTGGGTAAGATTTGGGGTCAGTTTTGGGTAAGATTTGGGGTCAGTTTTGGGTAAGATTTGGGGTCAGTTTTGGGTAAGATTTGGGGCAGTTTTGGGTAAGATTTGGGGTCAGTTTTGGGTAAGATTTGGGTCAGTTTGGGGCAGGATTTTGGGGCAGGATTTTGGGGCAGTTTTGGGCAGAATTTCAGGTCAGTTTTGGGGTCAGTTTTGGGCAGGATTTTGGGGCAGTTTGGGGCAGTTTTGGGCAGGATTTTGGGGCAGTTTGGGGCAGTTTGGGGTCAGTTTTTGGGCAGGATTTTGGGGCAGTTTTGGGTCAGTTTGGGGCAGAATTTCAGGGCAGTTTTGGGGCAGTTTGGGGCACTTTTGGGGCAGTTTTGGGCAGGATTTTGGGGCTGTTTTGGGGCAGTTTTGGGCAGTAATTTCAGTGCAGTTTTGGGGCAGTTTTGGGGCAGTTTTGGGCAGGATTTCGGGGCAGTTTTGAGGCAGTTTGGGGCAGGATTTCAGGGCATTTTTGGGGCAGTTTTGGGCAGGATTTTGGGGCAGTTTGGGGCAGTTTGGGGCAGTTTTGGGACAGTTTGGGACAGGATTTTAGGACAGTTTTGGGTCAGTTTTCTGCAGCATTTCAGAGCAGTTTTGGGGCAGCTTTGGGCAGGATTTTGGGGCAGCTTTGGGCAGGATTTTGGGGCAGTTTTGGGGCAGTTTTGGGGCAGGATTTCGGGGCAGTTTTGGGGCAGTTTTGGGCAGGATTTCAGGGCAGTTTTGGGGCAGTTTTGGGCAGGATTTTTGGGGCAGTTTTGGGGCAGTTTAGAGCAGAATTTCAGGGCAGTTTTGGGGCAGTTTGGGGCAGGATTTTGGGGCAGTTTTGGGCAGGATTTTGGGGCAGTTTTGGGGAAGTTTGGGGCAGGATTTTGGGGCAGTTTTGAGGCAGTTTGGGGCAGAATTTCAGGGCGGTTTTAGGGCAGGATTTTAGGACAGTTTTGGGTCAGTTTTAGGGCAGTTTTGGGGCAGTTTTGGGTCAGTTTTGGGTCAGTTTTGAGTCAGTTTTGGGTCAGTTTTGGGCAGGATTTTTGGGGCAGTTTTGGGGCAGTTTTGGGCAGGATTTTGGCAGTTTTGGGGCAGTTTGGGGCAGGATTTCAGGGCAGTTTAGGACAGGATTCCAGGGCAGTTTTGGGTCAGATTTGGGGTCAGTTTTGGGGCAGTTTTGGGGCAGTTTGGGTCAGTTTTGGGCAGGATTTCAGGGCAGTTTAGGGCACAATTTCAGGGCAGTTTTGGGTCAGTTTCGGGCAGGATTTGGGCCCAATTCCCGGGGTTTTGGGGCAGTTTTGGGACAGGATTTCAGGGCGGTTTCGGGGCAGGATTTCAGGGTGGTTTTGGGGCAGGATTTGGGCCCAATTCCCGGGATTTTGGGGCAGTTTGGGGCAGGATTTTGGGGCAGTTTGGGACAGGATTTCAAGGCGGTTTCGGGGCAGGATTTCAGGGTGGTTTTGGGCAGGATTTGGGGCAGTTTGGGGTCAGTTTTTGGGCAGGATTTTGGGGCAGTTTTGGGCAGAATTTCAGGGCGGTTTTGGGGCAGTTTTTGGCAGGATTTCAGGGCAGTTTTGGGGCAGTTTGGGGCAGGATTTCAGGACGGTTTTGGGGCAGTTTTGGGGCAGTTTTTGGCAGGATTTTGGGGAGGTTTCGGGCAGAATTTCAGGTCAGTTTTGGGCAGTTTTTGGCAGAATTTCAGGGCAGTTTAGGGTAGAATTTCAGGGCAGTTTTGGGTCAGTTTCGGGCAGGATTTGGGCCCAATTCCGGGGATTTTGGGCCACTCACGGGCAGGCTGAAGTGCACGCCATCGTAGCGGTAGAGTTTCTGTCCCCCCCGGCGCAGCGCCGGGTCCAGCAGCAGTTTGTAGCTGCGCCACGGCACGTTGGGGGTCCTGGGGCCGTCACCCCCCGGCTCGGGCTCCATGCCCCCGCCTCATTGACCCTGGCGGGGGAGAAACGGGCACAAAGTCACTGAAATCGGCAAAAATTCACACAAAAATATCACAAATTTACTGAAATCTGCAAAAATTCACTGAAATCTGCAAGAATTCACCCAAAATCGGCACAAATTCATTAAAAATCGGCACAAATTTACTGAAATCGGCAAAAATTCACACAAAAATATCAAAAATTTACTGAAATCGGCACAAATTCACTCAAAAATATCACAAATTCACTCAAAATCGGCACAAATTTACTGAAATCTGCAAAAATTCACACAAAATCGGCACAAATTTACTGAAATCTGTAAAAATTCACCCAAAAATATCACAAATTTACTGAAATCGGCACAAATTCATTAAAAATCAGCAAAAAAATCACTGAAATCGGCACAAATTCACTCAAAATTGGCACAAATTCAGCGAAATTGGCACAAATTCACCCAAAATTGGCACAAATTCACCCAAAATCAGCACAAATTCACTGAAATCTGCAAAAATTCACACAAAATCGGCACAAATTTACTGAAATCTGCACAAATTCACCCAAAAATATCACAAATTCAGCGAAATCGGAACAAATTCACCCAATATCGGCACAAATTTACTGAAATCTGCAAAAATTCACCCGAAATCGGCACAAATTCACTGAAATCTGCAAAAATTCATCCGAAACCGGCACAAATTTACTGAAATCTGCAAAAATTCACCCAAAAATATCACAAATTTACTGAAATTGGCACAAATTCATTAAAAATCAGCAAAAAAATCACTGAAATCGGCACAAATTCACCCGAAATCGGCACAAATTTACTGAAATCTGCAAAAATTCACTCAAAATCGGCACAAATTTACTGAAATCGGCATAAATTCATTAAAAATCGGCACAAATTTACTGAAATCTGCACAAATTCACCCAAAAATACCAAAAATTCAGCAAAATCGGCACAAATTCACCCAATATCGGCACAAATTCACTGAAATTGGCACAAATTCATTAAAAATCGGCACAAATTCACCCAAATCAGCACAAATTCACTGAAATCTGCACTGATTTACCTGAAATTGGCACAAATCCACCCGGAACTGTCCCGATTTCACCGGAATCTGCACAAATGAACCCAAAATCAGCACCCAGGGGCCAAAATGGGCACAAATCCACCCAAATCCACAGAAAATCAACAGAAACTCGCCCAAATCCCCCTCAAATCCCCCAATTCCCTCTCAAATCCCCCAAATCCCCCTCAAATCCCCCAATTCCCTCTTAAATCCCCCAATTTCCCCCAAATCCCCCCAAAACCCCCTCAAATCCCCCAATTTCCCCCAATTCCCCCTCAAATCCCCCCAAATCCCCCTCAGCTCCCTCAAATCCCCCAATTTCCCCCAAATCCCTCCAATTTTCCCCAATTTCCCCCTCAGATCCCCCAAATCCCCTTCAAATTCCCCAATTTCCCCCAAATCCCCCCAAACCCCCCTCAAATCCCCCAATTTCCCCCAAATCTCCCCAATTTCCCCCAAATCCCCCCAATTTTCCCCAATTTCCCCCAATTTCCCCCTCAGATCCCCCAATTCCCCCCATTTCCCCCAATTTCCCCCAATTCCCCCTCAGATCCCCCAATCCCCCCTCACACCCCCCCATACCCCCAGTTCCCCTCACGCGGGCCGGACGAGGCGCGGAGGGGCTGATTCGGCCTCCGGAGCCGCTTTTGGGGCGAATTTTCGCGGTTTTGGGGTTTTTTTTCGCCTTTTTGGGGTTCCGGAGCCGCCGCGGCCGCGGCTGAGGGAGAGGGGGCGGGGCCAGGACCGGAAGTCTCGCGCGCGCGCGCGGCTCTCGCGAGAGTTCGGCGAACCGCGCCGCACTTTCCACACGGGATTTTCCCAAAAAAATAAATTTTCTTCCCCACCCCAATGGAGAAAAACGCGCGGAACGGCCCAAAACGGCGGAAAAACAACGGGAGAATTAATCCGAGCGGAAACTCCCGCGGGGAGAGAGGGAAGGGCGGCGCAGCGGCCGTGGCGAATCTGCGGACGCGGCACTTTCGCCACGTCCCCGTTCCGCGCTGCGCGCCGGGTCCGGCCCGGTAAAAGCGGCGGCTGTGACCGCTCCACCCGTTTTTTGTCGTTTTTCCCGTTTTTTTCCCGTTTTTTCCGTTTTTTCCCCGTTTTCTCAGCCCGTGGCGAATCTGCTGTTCTGAGGGAGGGGGCGGCGCCTGTCTGTGACGTCACTTCCGCCGCGCGGCGTCGCACTGTCCGTGACGTCACCGCCAGCGCCGGGAGCCGCCGCCGGGTGCGCGGCGCGAGCGCGGCTGATTTGCATATGCAAATGAGCCCCGGGGCGGCTAACGAGGGTCGGGGGGCGTTAATTGCGGCCGTTAATTGCGGCCCGGGGGGGGCGGGGCCGCGCGGGGGGGCGCGGGGGCGGCGCTGATGGCGGTTAATTAGGGATGCAAATGAGGGGGAGGGTCGCTAATGAGGGGCCGCTAATGAGGGGCCGTTAATGAGGGGTCGTTAATGAGGGGCCGCTAATGAGGGGCCGCTAATGAGGGGGGGTCAGGGATCGCGCGAGGGGGGGATTCCGGCTAATTAGGCATTAATTAGGGATTAATTAGGGGCTCTTTGGCGATTAGTTAAGAGCTAATGGAGGGCGTGGGTAATTAATTGATTATTCTAATTAATTATGGTTAATTGCAGCCATGTCCAAGCACGGCATAATTAATGACATTAATTATGCAAATTAACACTGATTATGTTAATCACAGCCACAGGGGGATTGGAGGCGGCGCTGTTGGTTAATTAATTATGCTAATTTATGCTAATTTATGCTATTTGCAGCCATGTCTGAGCATGGGGGGTTTGTGGGGTGCTGTTAATGACATTAATTATGCAAATTAGTGCTGATTATGTTAATCACAGCCACAGGGGGATTGGAGGCGGCGCTGTTGGTTAATTAATTATGCTAATTAATGCTAATTAATGCTAATTAATGCTAATTGCAGCCATGTCCAGACGCCGCGTTTGGTTCCAGGACCCCCCGGGGGAGGGGGAGGGGCCCGAAGAGCCCAAAACCAAACGGAGACGGGTGAGGGGGAGGGGCGGGGTCACCATGGGGTCAGGGGTCACTCGGGGTCAGGGCGGGGTCACCGGGGTCACCATGGGGTCAGGGGTCAGCGGGGGTCATGGTGGGGTCACCGGGGTCATTCAGGGGTAATCCAGGGGTCAGGGTGGGGTCACTGAGGGTCAGTTTGGGGTCACAGGGTCACCATGGGGTCAGGGAGGGGTCACTGGGGTCACTCAGGGGTCACTCAGGGGTCAGCAGGGGTCAGGGTGCGGTCACTCGGGGGGTCACTCGGAGTCAGTTTGGGGTCACTCAGGGTCACAGGGTCACCATGGGGTCAGTTTGGGGTCAGGGTGGGGTCATCGGGGTCACTCAGGGGTCACTCGGGGTCATTCAGGGGTCAGTCGGGGTCACTTGGGGTCACAGGGTCACCGTGGGGTCAGTTTGGGGTCACTGGGGTCAGTTTGGGGTCACTTGGGTCACTCGGGGTCAGTTTGGGGTCACTCAGGGGTCAGTTTGGGGTCACTTGGGTCACTCGGGGTCAGTTTGGGGTCACTCAGGGGTCAGTTTGGGGTCACTGGGGTCACTCGGGGTCTCTCAGGGTCAGGGTGGGGTCACCGGGGTCATCCAGGGGTCAGCGGGGGTCAGGGTGGGGTCACTGAGGTCACTCGGGGTCGGGGCGGGTCACAGGGTCACCATGGGGTCACTCAGGGGTCACTCGGGGTCAATTTGGGGTCACTCAGGGTCACAGGGTCACCATGGGGTCAGGGTGGGGTCACCGGGGTCATCCAGGGGTCAGCGGGGGTCAGGGCGGGGTCACTGAGGTCACTCGGGGTCGGGGGGGGTCACAGGGTCACCATGGGGTCACTCAGGGGTCACTCGGGGTCAGTTTGGGGTCACTCAGGGTCACAGGGTCATCATGAGGTCAGGGTGGGGTCACCAGGGTCACTCAGGGGTCACTTGGGGTCAGTTTGGGGTCACAGGGTCAGGGCAGGGTCACACTGGGGTCAGGGGTCACGGGGGGGGGTTGGAGCCATCCCCGGGATATTGGGGGGAATTTTGGGGTGAATTTTGGGGATTTTGGCTCAGCCCGAGGGGGGCCCCGGGAGCCGCTGTTCGGGGGTGATTTTGGGGTGAATTTTGGGGTGAATTTGGGTGATTTTGGGTCAGCCCGAGGGGGGTCCCGGGAGCCGCTGTCTGAGGGTGAATTTTGGGGTGAATTTCGATGATTTTGGCTCAGCCCGAGGGGGGCCCCGGGAGCCACTGTCAGAGGGTGAATTTTGGGGTGAATTTCGGTGGTTTTGGGTCAGCCCGAGGGGGGCCCCGGGAGCCGCTGTTCGGGGGTGAATTTGGGGTGAATTTTGGGGTAAATTTTGATGATTTTGGCTCAGCCCGAGGCGGGCCCCGGGAGCCGCTGTTCGGGGCTGTCTGAGGGTGAATTTTGGGGTGAATTTTGGGGTAAATTTGTATGATTTTGGGTCAGCCCGAGGGGGGTCCCGGGAGCCGTTTTCCGGCGCTGCCGCCCCCGGACAGCGACGAGGAGGAGGAGGAGGAGGAGGAGGAAGAGCTCCGGGCCGGGGGGCCCCCGGTGGAGGGTGAGAGCGGTTCGGGGCAGTTTGGGGCATTTTGGGGCATTTTGGGGGATTTCGGGGCATTTTGGGCGAGTTTTTGGGTTAATTTTGGGTTAATTTTGGGGTGATTTTGGGCGATCTCGCCGCGGTTTTTCTGGGCAGTTTTGGGCGGGTTTGTTGATTTTTGGGGTGATTTTCTTGATTTTTGGGGGGTTTTGGAACGGTTTTGCTGATTTTTGGGTTGATTTGGAACGATTTTGTTGATTTTGGGGCAGTTTTGTTGATTTTTGGGTGGTTTTGTCCATTTTGGGGCAGTTCTGTTGATTTTGCGGCAGTTCTGTTATTTTTTGAGTTGATTTTGGCGTTTGTGTCGATTTTGGGGGGATTTTGGGGGCGGTTTTGATGTTTTTGTTGATTTCAGTGCTTTTGTTGATTTTGGGGTGGATTTTGTGTGGGTTTTGGGTGGTTTTGTCCATTTTGGGCGGTTTTTGGGTGGATTTTCGGTCCCTTTTGTTGATTTTGGGTCGATTTCGTTGGTTTTGCCCATTTTGGGTGGGTTTTGGGGTGGGTTTTTGTCCATTTTATGGGTTTTGGGTCACTTTCAGTGTTTTGCCCATTTTGGGCGATTTTTGGCTGGGTTTGGGTGGGGTTTTGTCCCTTTTGTTGGTTTTGGGTCAATTTTGGTGGTTTTGCCCATTTTGGGTGGACTTTTGGCGGGTTTTGGGCGGGTTTTGGGTGGGTTTCAGTCCCTTTTGTTGGTTTTGGGTCACTTTTGATGTTTTGCCCATTTTGGGCGTTTTTTGGGTGGTTTTTGGTCCCTTTTGTTAATTTTGGGTTGCTTTTGCTGTTTTGCCCATTTCAAGCGGTTTTTGGGTGGTTTTCGGTCCTTTTTGTTGATTTTGGGTCTCTTTCGGTGTTTTGCCTGTTTCGGGCCGTTTTTGGGTGGGTTTTGGTGGTTTTTGTCCATTTTGGGTTGATTTTGGGCTGTTTTCTGTGGTTTTGCCCGTTTCGGTCATTTTTCACCCCATTTATCCCCTCCCCCCCCCCAGGGCAGGAGCCGGGCCCCGCGCCGGGGGTGGGGGAGGGGCCGGTGGTGGTTTTTGGGTGGTTTTTGGTCCATTTTGGGTGGATTTTGGGTGGATTTCAGGTGGATTTTGGGCTGATTTCGCTGTTTTTGCCCGTTCCGGTCGTTTTTTGCCCCATTTACGCCCCTCCCCTCCCGCCAGGGCAGGAGCCGGACCCCGCGCCGGGGGTGGGGGAGGGGCTGGTGGTGGTTTTTGGGTGGTTTTTGGGTGGTTTTTGTCCATTTTGGGTGGATTTTGGGTGGTTTTTGTCCATTTTGGGTGGATTTTGGGCGGATTTCGCTGTTTTTGCCCGTTTCGGCCGTTTTTTGCCCCATTCTGACCCTCCCCTCCCCCCAGGGCAGGAGCCGGGCCCCGCGCCGGGGGTGGGGGAGGGGCCGGTGCCCCTCACCCCCTTCAACCTGGAGGAGGAGATGGGGGAGGGGCGCTTCGACCCCCACGGGCACTTCCTGCCCCTCCCCCGCCGCGAGACCCCCGACCCCTGGCTGGAGACCCTCGAGGGGGTGGGGGAGGGGCAGAGGGGGGGGGAGGGGTGGGGGAGGGGCTGGAGACCCTCCAGGGGGTGGGGGAGGGGCTGGAGACCCTCGAGGGGGTGGGGGAGGGGCAGAGGGGGGGTGGGGGAGGGGCTGGAGACCCTCGAGGGGGTGGGGGAGGGGCAGGGTGGGGGAGGGGCTGGAGACCCTCGAGGGGGTGGGGGAGGGGCTGGAGACCCTCGAGGGGGTGGGGGAGGGGCTGGGGGGGGAGGGGCTGGAGACCCTCGAGGGGGTGGGGGAGGGGCTGGAGACCCTCGAGGGGGTGGGGGAGGGGCAGAGGGTGGGGGAGGGGCTGGAGACCCTCGAGGGGGTGGGGGAGGGGCAGAGAGGGGGGAGGGGCTGGAGACCCTCGAGGGGGTGGGGGAGGGGCAGAGGGGGGGGAGGGGCTGGAGACCCTCGAGGGGGTGGGGGAGGGGCTTGGGGAGGGTGGGGGAGGGGTGGGAGACGTGGGGGAGGGGCATATTTGGCTGGGGGAGGGGCAGATTTGGGTGGAGGAGGGGCATAGGTGGGTGGGGGAGGGGCAGATTTGGGTGGGGGAGGGGGAGGGGCATATTTGGGTGGGGGATGGGCTGGGGAGGGGCTATAATGAGTGGGGGAGGGGCTTATAACGAGTGGGGGAGGGGCTATAATGAGTGGGGGAGGGGCTCATAATGGGGGAGGGGCTATAATGAGTGGGGGAGGGGCTCATAATGGGGGAGGGGCTATAATGAGTGGGGGAGGGGCTATAATGAGTGGGGGAGGGGCTATAACGAGTGGGGGAGTGGCATGTGAGGGTGTGGCCGCTGTGGGGGAGGGGCTATAACGAGTGGGGGAGGGGCGTGTGAGGGCGTGGCCGCTGTGGGCGTGTCAGGGGCGTGGCTCTGACCCCTCCCCCCCCTTTTTTTTTCTCTCCCCTCCCTCCCCCAGATGCCGATCAAGCCGCGGCCCCTCCCCCCCCCCGGCCGCGCCTCCCCTCCCCCCTCGCCGCCGCCCCTCCCCCAGCTGCTGCGGGGGGCGCTGGCGCTGCTGCGGCCCCGCGAGACCGTGGGGGGGGCGCTGCGGCGCTGGGGGGGGGGGGGCGGAGCAGAGGGGGGAGGGGCGGGGGGAGGGGCAGGGGGCGCGCCCCTCCCCCCCCGAGCTGGAGGCGCTGGTGGCGCTGTCGGACGCGCTGGTGGCCCGGGGGGTGCTGGGGGTGCTCGGGGAGAGCCGCGAGCGGCTGCGGGGGCGGCTGCGGGCCCTGGGGGGGGAGGGGCGGGGGGAGGGGCAGGAGGGGGAGGAGGAGGAGGGGGAGGAGGAGGAGGAGGAAGAGGAGGAGGGGGAGGGGGAGGGGCAGGCGGCCCCGGCGCTGGACATGTTCGCCCCCCCCGAGGAGGGGGAGGGGCGGGAGGGTGAGTGGGGGAGGGGGTTTGGGGGGGGTTGGGGTGGGGGAGGGGTTTTGGGGGGGTTGGGGGTCGGATCTGGGGTGTTTTGGGGATTGGGGGATGGGTTGGGATGTTTGGGTCTGGGGGAGGGGCCTGGGGGGGTTTGGGGGTTGGGGGATGGGCCTGGGGGGTTTGGGGCGTGGGGGAGGGGTTGGGGGAGGGTTTTGGGGGTGGGGGATGGGGGAGGGGTTTGGGGGGGTTTTGGGGGGTGGGGGAGGGGTTTGGGGGGGGTTGGGGTGGGGGAGGGGTTTTTGGGGTTGGCTTAGGGGGGGTTTTGGGGTGGGAGAAGGGCCTAGTAGGTTTGGGGGGTGGGGGGTGGGCTAGGGGGGGTTTGGGGGTGGGGGAGGGGTCCGGGCGGTTTTTGGGGGTGGTCTCGTGTGTGGGGGAGGGGCCTGGGTGGTTTTTGGGATGGTTTGGGGGTGGTTTTGGGTGTGGGGGATGGGCCTGGAGGGGATGGGGGATGGGGGATGAGTTTTGGGGTGTGGGGGATGGGCCTGATGGGTTTTGGGATGGTCTCGTGTGTGGGGGAGGGGCCTGGAGGGGATGGGGGATGGGTTTGGGGGTGGGGAATGGGCCTGGAGGGGTTTTTGGGGTGGTTTCGGGTGTGGGGGAGGGGTTTTTGGGGGGGGTCTGGGGTGTTTTGGGGGTTGGCGGAGGGGTTGGGGTGATTGGGGCATGGGGAGGGATTTGGGGGATTTGGGGGGTGGGGGAGGGGCCTGGGGGATGGCTTTGGGTGTGGGGGAGGGGTCCGGGCGGTTTTGTGGTGGGTTTGGGGTGTGGGGGAGGGGTCCGGGGGGGTTTTGGGATGGTTTTGGGGGTGGTTTTGGGTGTGGGGGATGGGCCTGGGGGGGATGGGGGTGGGGGATGGGTTTTGGGGTGTGGGGGATGGGCCTGATGGGTTTTGGGATGGTCTCGTGTGTGGGGGAGGGGTCCGGGGGGGGATGGGGGATGGGTTTCAAGGTGGGGGAGGGGTCCGGGTCCCCCCCTGACCCTCCCCCCCGTTGCCCCTCCCCCAGCGCTGCCCGAGGTGCTGTGGGAGTATCACTGGGGGGGGGAGGGGGACCCCCCCACGCCGCTGTACGGCCCCTTCAGCAGCGCCCAGATGCAGGTGGGGGAGGGGCGGGGGGGGAGGGGCGGGAATGGGGCATTTTGGGGCAGTTCTGTCGCTTTTGGGGTGATTTCAGTGGGGATTGGGGGTTTGGGGCTGATTTTGGGTGGATTTCGGGTATTTTTGGTGATTTTGGGGTGATTTTGGGGCAGTTTTGTTGATTTTGGGGCAGTTTTGTTGATTTTGGGATGATTTCGGTGGTTTTGATGATTTTGGGAGGAATTTTGGGGAGGATTTTTGGTGTTTTGGGCAGGAATTCTGGGGAAGAATTCTGGGGGGGTTGGGGGAGTATTTTTGGGAAGATTTATGGAATTTTGGGAAGGACTTTGGGGAGGATTTATGGGATTTTGGGGAAGGAATTTTGGGACTTTGGGAAGGATTTTGGTGGGATTTTGGGAGGCATTTTTGGGTGAATTTTGGGGAAGATTTTTGGGAATTTTGGGAGGGACTTTGGTGGGTTTGGGAGGATTTTCGGGATGAATTTTGGGGATTTTGGGGATGAATTTCCGGGAGGATTTCGGGGGGATGACAAAGGGGTTTTTGGGGGTTCGGGGGCGTGACCCCGCTGACCCCTCCCCCGCCCCTCCCCCCAGGCCTGGGCCGACCAGGGGTACTTCCGGGGTGGGGGAGGGGCGCGGTGCCGCCGCCTGAACCCCCCCGACCCCCCCGGACCCTTCTACGACTGCGGCCGGGTGGATTTCCAACTCTACACCTGAGAAACGCCCCAAAAACCCCAAAAACCGCCCCAAAACCGACAATAAAAACCACCCCCAGACCAGTCCGGGACTTCTTTATTTTATGGGGTTTTTTTTTTAATTTTTTGTGATGTTTTTTGTGACTTTCTGGAGGAATTTTTTTTGGGAATATTTTGGGATTTTCTTGGGGAATTTTTTAGGATTTTTTGGGGATTTTTAAAATTATTTTTTAGGATTTTTTAGTTTTTATGGGATTTTTTGGGGGTTTTTTTGGGGGGGATTTTTAAATTAATTTTTGGGGTTTGCCCCTCCCCCACCCAAAAGGGGGTGGGGGAGGGGCCGCCGTGTCCGTTGGGGGTGGGGGAGGGGCGGCCCCTCCCCCCCAATCTCTCCGCGTCCTCTGGGTGGGGGAGGGGCGGTCTCAGGGCGGGGGGAGCCTGTGGGGGGAGGGGAGAGGGGGGTGGGGGTGGGGCAAAAACACCCTCATTTGCATAATCCCGACCACTCCCTGTTTGGCCCCACCCCCTCATTTGCCTAATCCGGACCCCCTCCCTGCTTGGCCCCGCCCCCATTGCCACACCCCCTCATTTGCATAACCCTGGCCCCGCCCCCACGGCCCCAGCCAGCCCAGGCCCCGCCCCTTTCCAATTTTCCCCTTTTCCCCCATTTTTTCCCCCGTTTTACCCATTTTTTCCCTTTTTTCCCAATTTCCCCCCAAACCTGAGCCCATTCCTGCTGCAGCCCCTCCCCCATCCCCATTTTTCCCCATTTTCCCCCTTTTTACCCCATTTTTCTCCCCGTTTTTCCCCGTTTTCCCCCCTTTTTTCCCCTTTTCCCCCTTGTTTTTCCCATTTTTCCCCATTTTTCCCCGTTTTTTCCCCATTTTCCCCCATTTTTTCCAATTTCCCCATTTTTCCCAAATCTGTGGTTTTTCCCCCCAAACCTGAGCCCGTTCCCGCTGTAGCTCCTCCCCATCCCTGTTTTTCCCCCCGTTTTTCCCCATTTTCCCTGTTTTTCCCCCATTTTCCCCCCGTTTTCCCCCCATTTTTTTCCCATTTTCCCCATTTTTCCCAAATTTGGCTGTTTTCACCCCAAACCTGAGCCCGTTGCCGCTGTAGCCCCTCCCCATCCCCATTTTTCCCCTTTTTACCCCGTTTTCCCCCCATTTTTTCCCATATTCCCCATTTTTCCCAAATTCCCCATTTTTTGCCCCAAACCTGAGCCCGTTGCCGCTGTAGCCCCTCCCCCATCCCCATTTTTCCCCATTTTTCCCCATTTTTTCCCCCATTTTCCCCCATTCCCCCGATTTTTCCCCAATTTTCCCCGTTTTCCCCCATTTTTCCCAAATTCCCCGTTTTTCACCCCAAACCTGAGCCCGTTGCTACTGTAGCCCCTCCCCCATCCCTGTTTTTCCCCCATTTTTCCCCCATTTTCCCCCCGTTTTTTCCCCACTTTTCCCCCATTTTTTCACCGTTTTTTCCCATTTTTCCCCATTTTTCCCCAAATTCCCCATTTTTTGCCCCAAACCTGAGCCCGTTGCCGCTGCAGCCCCTCCCCCATCCCCATTTTTCCCCGTTTTTTCCCCATTTTTACCCCATTTTTTTCCCCGTTTTTCCCCGTTTTTTCCCATTTTTTTCAGTTTTTCCCATTTTTCCCAAATCCGGCTGTTTTCGCCCCAAACCTGAGCCCGTTCCCGCTGTAGCCCCTCCCCCATCCCCATTTCCCCCCGTTTTTTCCTCATTTTCCCCCCATTTTTCCCTGGTTTTTCACCATTTTTTCCCCATTTTTTCCCCATTTTTCCCGTTTTCCCCATTTTTCCCAAATTCCCCATTTTTCACCCCAAACCTGAGCCCGTTGCTGCTGTAGCCCCTCCCCCATCCCCATTTCCCCCCTTTTTTCCCCATTTTTACCCCATTTTTTCCCCGTTTTTCCCCCGTTTTTCTCATTTTTCCCCATTTTCCCCAAATTCCCCATTTTTCCCCCCAAACCTGAGCCCGTTGCCGCTGTAGCCCCTCCCCCATCCCCATTTTCCCCCGTTTTTCCCCATTTTTCCTCCATTTTTCTCCATTTTTTCCCGTTTTTTTCCCGTTTTTCCCAAATTTGGCTGTTTTCGCCCCAAACCTGAGCCCGTTGCCCCTCCCCCATACCCATTTTCCCCCCATTTTTCCCCCTTTTTACTGCATTTTTACCCCATTTTTGCCATTTTTTCCCCCGTTTTTTCCCGTTTTTCCCCTGTTTTTCCCCATGATCCCCATTTTTCCCAAATTCCCCATTTTTCGCCCCAAACCTGAGCCCGTTGCCGCTGTAGCCCCTCCCCCATCCCCATTTTCCCCCATTTTTTCCCCATTTTTCCCTGTTTTTTCCCCCTTTTTTGCCCCATTTTACCCCGTTTTTTACCCATTTTTCCCCATTTTTCCCATTTTTCCCAAATTCCCCGTTTTTCGCCCCAAACCTGAGCCCGTTGCCGCTGTAGCCGTGGTCGTGCTGTGTCGGCAGTTCCCGGAGCCGCGCGGCCGCCGCCGCCTCCGACAGCCCCACCTTGGGCAGCCGCGGCCTGCACCAGTATAAACCAGTAAAAACCAGTATAAACCAGTATGGACCAGTGAGAAACCAGTATGAACCAGTATGAACCAGTCACAAACCAGTTTAACCCCGTTTTTCCCCTTTTTTCCCCAATTTTTTCCCTTTTTTTCCCATTTTTGGTGGCCCCAGTTGCTCTCCCCCACACAAAATCCCAGTATAAACCAGTATAAACCAGTCATAAACCAGTATAAACCAGTTCAAACCGGTCACAAACCAGTCACAAACCAGAATGAACCAGTGATAAACCGGTTCAAACCAGTTACAAACCAGTCACCAGTCACAAACCAGTAATAAACCAGTCACAAACCAGTACGGACCAGTATGAACCAGTGATAAACCGGTTCAAACCAGTCACAAACCGGTATGGGCCAATACGGACCAGTA